ACCCACCGCAATAGAAATGTCCACTTACCGTTGACTGAAACTAGAGGGCAGAAAAAGGAAGGGGATGGTTAGTTAAGAGATGAAGTGGTCCAGGGCAGCAGGAATGACACTTGAAGAAGACTGGGACGAGCATTTGAGGAAGGAAAGGCTAGAGGCCAAGAGTTTTGGAAAATTCTAGGGAGAGTAATAGTGTATGGTATTTGGGTAGAGAGAGACGTCTTAAGACCAAGGGCATTTTCAGTCAAGTGTAGAGGTAGAAGCCAATTATAGGGAATTATGGAGAAAATGAGTATAAAGACAGGAAGGAATCTGGTATTGAAAATGCTTGTCTCTTTTAATGATCACAAAACCACAATCCAATCTGTGTTGATGATCATCTTTTAGTGGTTTTGTTCATTTGGGGAGCAATTATATTTTTCTTTTGTGAACTGCCCATTCACATATTTTGCTTATTTTTCTACTGAGGTCTTTATTTTTCTCCCAACAAATTGTAGGTGTTTTTTATAGATTAAAGGGCTAGATTGAGGGTATAAATTTTAAGGAAAGGAGTTTTTTTCCTGCTCAGCAGTAAGAGTTTGAACAGGCAGTTTTCCTTACAATCTCCTATGGAAAAGGGCAGATTTACTTTATTTTTCAAAATAACAGCTTTATCAAAATATAATTCACATACCATAAAATTCACCTAGTTTAAAGTTTACAATTAAATGGTTTTAGTACATCTACAGAGTTGTGCAAACATCACCACTAATTCTGGAGACTTTCATCCTCCTAAAAAGAAGCCATAAACCTAATAGTAGTCACTCCCCGTTTCTCCTTCTCCCGTCTCTGGTGATCGGTGATCAGTAATCTTGATGTTGCTATTGATCAGCCTACTCTGGACATTTAAAGTAAATGGAATTATATAATACGTGTCCTTTTGTGTCTGGGTTATTTCATAAAATAATATTTTTAAAGTTTATCCATGCTGTGGTATATATCAAAACTTCACTCCTTTTTATTGCCAAATAACATTCCATTGTATGTGTATACTACATTTTGTTTAATCATTCATGAGTTAATGAAGATAATGATAGTAACAGATTATTGTTCATGGACTAGACTAGGAAACCACAAGTCTATAGTGATGTAAATGAATTGAATGTACAATGAGGAATAGGATATTTACAATTTCAAATACCTCTCCACAAAATACTTATTAATTACTAAAAAAAAATAACTTCACAGTGGAGATTCCTGGTAGACACTACGTTAATCAAGCAACAGAAACAGACATTATCAGTACTGGGAGGGAATGTTTGTAATCTTGCACCACCTGAGAGGATGCAGTGAGAGAAATGCATCGTCTCTTTTATACCATTCCAACCAAAGATGCATAATCTGAACCCAATCACGAGAAAACTTCAGCAAACCCAAATTGATGGATATGAAATAACAGACTTGTAACCTTTTAAAATGTCAAGGTTAGGAATGTCAAGCAAAGAGTGAAGAACTGTTCTTGATGAATAAGACTAAAGAGATAGGACAACAAAATACGATGTATAATTGAGATCTGGATCTTTGGGGGATAACTAGAGACTCTGGAAAGGAGCCTGAGAATTAAATGGTATTTATGTGTCGATGCTAATTTGTTTTGTATTGGAGTTGTGTAAGAGAATGTCCTTATTTTGGAAAACATCTGCTAAAGTATTCAGGAGCAGTGGGTAATGGCAATTTACTCTCAAATTACTCAAAAACAGGAAAAGCTCTACAATTTGTACAATTTTCACTTTTTTCCAAAATAAAAATATGTAAGAAATACAAAATAAGAAAACAACAACAACAACAAGAAAAGCAGCATGTGCCTTAATCATCTTTGGATCAAGAGGAAATAAAAATTGAAATGAGGGTTAATTAGGAAGCATGGCTAGCCTCAGGGCATTGTTGTTGTTTAGTCACTAAGTCGTGTCCAACTCTCTTGAGACCCCATGGACTGTAGCCCACAGGTTTCCTCTGACCATGGGGTTTCCCAAGCAAGAATACTGGAGTGGGCTGCCGTTTCCTTCTCCAGGGGATTTTCCTTACCCAGGGATAGAACCTGTGTCTCCTACATCGGCAGGCAGATTCCTTTACCGCTGAGCCACAGGGAAGCCTCAGGGAATACCTATCTGTTATTAGGCGAAATAGCTAGTCTATTATTGGGATAGATACCAAGTGTGCTAAAAATAAGCTAGATAACTCAGGTTTACAGTCAAATCAAGATTTATTTAAATCACAGAATAACACTTAAAATTGGAATTTCTATAGGAAAACTCTGTTATTGCAAGGGTGAACTCCTTTAGGCCTATATACCCCTGTGCATACAATTAGTTTAATGTTGCTATTCTTAATACATCATGGTTTCTGAGGTGTTACAGAAAAGATAGGTCTAGAGAATGTGTGTGTGTGTGTGCGTGTGTGTATGTGTGTAAATCAAGTTAATTACTTTAGGAAAGAGCTAAAATTATGAGTGATTAATTTGTCTTGTTTTGAAATGCAATTATGTCTAGACTATAACTACTTAGGATTAAGGTCCTTGATTCTTTCTAATTTAATAATTATTTTATTTGTAAAATTTTAAAAAATGAAGTGATAATCTAGAAAACAATGAAAAAATATATATAAAATCCTATAGGACACAGCAGAAGGAAATGCATAGCGTTAAATATTTCACTATGAAAGATTTTTTTAAAAAATTCATTGCCACTTTATGAAACTAGAAAAAGAATGACAAAATAGACCTAAAGTGGAGAGAAACAATAAAGACAACAACAAAAAATAATGAATTAGAAAACAAAAAGAGTAGTAGGAAGGAAAAAAATAAGTTCAAGTGTTAATTATTTGAAAAGACCAGTAAAATACATGAATATCTCATGAATCTGGTTGGGCGGGGGGGGGGGGGGGGGGGGGGCGGGGAAGAGAGCAAAAATATCATGGTTAGGAATAAGAAAAGAGATACATTCACAAACACAAAAGAGGTTGAAAGTTACCCCTGCAACTATATGGCAACAAATGTGAACAACTAGAGGAAATGGATATTTCAAAGAAAAAAAGTTACTAAAACTGACCTATGAAGAAACAGAAAAGGAAAAGAGGAGTTATCACAATAGAGATCAGGAAGATTATTACAGATTTACCCTTAAAGACAGCACCAGAACCACATGGTTTCACAGCTGCATTTTATCTATCTTTTAGCAAAGAAATGATTCCAATGATGTTTAATTATGCTAGAATATAGGGGGAAAAGTTTCACTCTTTTTATAAGCAGATCTTGTAACTACTGATTTAATTTCTTTAATGGTTATAGGTTTATTCAGGTTGTCTATGTCTCCTTGATATAATTGGGTAAATTGCATTTTTAATGGGAACTAATCATTTGTGTAAATTATCAAATTAATTGGCACAAAGTTCTTCATATTGCATCATAGCTTTTTAAACTGATCCAGTACGGACAATATGGTTGTGTAGGTGGTTTTCTGCACGAGCTTATCTGGACAAGGAGTGAGTGGGAGCTGGCTGCATCCAGCTTTCCAAGTGGCAAGCCCTAGGTTAGGGTTGCAGCCGCCCACAGGTGAAGTGAAAGTCTCTAAGTCGTGTCCGATTCTTTGGGACCCCAAGAACTATACAGTCCATGGAGTTCTCCAGGCCAGAATACTGGAGTGGGTAACCTTTCCCTTCTCCAGGGGATCTTCCAAACTCAGGTCCCTGCATTGCAGGCGGACTCTTTATCGACTGAGCGATCAGGGAAGCCCCACAGGCGAAACCTTTCCCTAATTCTCACAAAGGCGCTGTGAGGGTTAGTGATGGCCGGGCTATAATTTATCCGTCTTCCCGGTTACTCAGACAATGAAGAACCTGGCTGCAAGGCAGGAAACTGGGGTTCAATCCCTGGGTGGGGGATCCCCTGGAGAAGGGAATGGCTACCCTCTCCCATATTTTTGCCTGGTAAATCCCAAGGACAGAGAGGAACCTAGCAGGCTATACAGTCCATGGGGTCGCAAGGAGTTGGACACGATTGAGCGACTGAACTGGCCTGAACTGAGTGACTCTTTCCATTTTTTTTAATCCCTCTTTTTTAAGATTTTTTTCTTGCCCTCTCTCTTTTCTCTTGACCAATCAATTCTGCTAGTTTTGCTTGTTTAGTTAATTTCAAAGAACTTTCTTTTGTCTCTTTTAAAATTTTAAACTTATTATTTTGTATTGTGGTATAAACGATTAAAGAAACTTATTTTGTCTTTTTACCATCTCTGTTGTATTCAATTAATTTCTGCCTTCATTTTTATTACTGTCACTCTTCCTCTTTCTTCAAGGTTATTGTGATTTTCTTTTCTTTAGTTTTTTACCTGAAAACTTAGCTGAGCAATTTTTTAAACTTTTCTTTTGTAATATAAACATTTAGGACTATACATTTTTCTCTATAAATCACCTTATCTGCATCTAATGAAGTTTTGGGGGGAGGAGTTGTTTCTATACTCATTATTTATTGAAGTATAGTTGATGTACAATATTATATAAGTACAATATAGTGATTTATAGTCTGGTGAACCTTTTACTTAATTCTGAAAATGCTCACACTTAAAAGTTGAAAGAATTGTACAGTAATACCCAAATGCTCAACACCTAATTTCTACAGTTAAGATTTTACTTTGTCTGCCTCATCATGCAACTTTTCATTTATTCATCCCTTCTATTGATTTCAAGGGTCTTATTTTTTATTCACTTGGAAGGAAATGACAGATATTAGCACATTCCACTCTTAAACACTTCAGCATGCATATCATTACCTGCAGTTCATTATTTTTGATTGATTGAAATTTTAAGATCAGTTTATTAAGCTCAATGATGAAAGCTATCAGAAGACTTTTTTTCCTGAAAATTATTTATTCTTACGAGAAAAAGAAAAGAAAATCAATACACACCCTCAGCATAGACACAGATACTGTGGCAGTCAAGCCTCTCTAAGATGAGGATAGTTTACTAGTTGGTCAAGTCACTCTCTGGTCAGCAGGATGGTAGTCTGGATCATCCGCCTTATCCTCTGGCTCCATGTCATTTAATTTCTGGGCCAGTGACTCATCTACCTCCACGTTGTATCCAGCATCCTCCAAGAACTGGATATTAGCTATGTCAAGATTACGATCTGTTTCAAACAGCTGTTTCCCACTTAATTTACTTTTTCCTGCTTTTTCTTTTACTTTCATTCATTAAAAAAAATTTCCAAGAGTTCTATATCAAACTTGGCCTTCCAACTTAAGAAACTCTGAATAGTAATAGGAGTACCATAAAATAATTGCTTTTCAGTTTCTGCTCTTCTTCTTGTCTTCAAGTTCCTATTTGATCTACCATTTCACTTAATTTTATTGCACAGCTATTGCTAAAGATCATACTATAGAAAGGCTTTCTTCTGCCTGTAATGCTAGTAACTTTAAAAATGTCTGAGACTTCATTACCTTCTAGGTTTTTCTGGAAGAGTATTTCCTAGAGGGGAGCTTCATCTGGGTGCTTTTCCCTGTATGTAAACTTAAGGGGAGGCACGACAGTTTCATTGTTTTCTCCAGCCTTATATGTCACAGGAATGGTGAAGCTGGTTGGATTTTTCCAATACTTAGCAGAAATACTACCAAAGGAGAATATATCAGGAGAGTTCATTTGTATTTTGGGAGACCAATTGTTAAGAGGGTTGGATCAACATACAGTCAAGCTCTGAAGGAGTCAGGGTAGATGGACTCCAGAGATTCCAGTTTTGTTTTGTTTTTAATATATATATATATATATATATAATTTTCCATTATGGTTTATCAAAGAATACTGAATATAGTTCCCTGTGCTATACATTAGGACTTGTTGTTTATTCATTCTAAATACAACAGTTTGCATCTACCAGCCTCAAACACCCAGTCTATCTCTCTCCCTAACATACAGAAAAGTGCAAAAATCCTAAGTATATAGCTTGATAAATTATCACAAAATGAATACATCTAAATCAAGAAATAGAAAAGGATTCCAGAAACTCCCCTTATGTAACCATTACCTTGACTTCAGACACCATAATTAATTTTGTTTACTTTTTGAACTTGGTATAAATAAAATCATATAATTTGTATTTTTATGTGCGTGGCTTTCTTTGCTACAACACTGTATCTGTGAAATCCATATAGTTGCATCTAGTGATGGTCTTCTTTTTCATTGCTATATGGTATTCCATTGTATGAATCTACTACAGTTGAAATTCTACAGTACTCATTCTACAGTTGAAATATTTACTACTATAAATAATGCCATGAGAACATTTTTGTGTGTCATTTTTATTGTGGTAAAACATACATAATATTTCCCCTTTTATTTATTTTTAAATATACAATCCAGTGGCATTAAGTACATTCACAATATTGTACAACTATCACCACAATTCATTTCCAGAACTTTTTCTTATCTTGTTGATGCCCATATGTGGATATTTCTCATGGGTATATACTTAGGAAATGCTAGATCACACTGTATATGTTGAACTTTAAAAAAATATTGCCAGGCTTCTCTGGTGGCTCAGTGGTAAAGAATCCACCTGCCAATGCAGGAGACAGGTTTGATCCCTGATCCGAGAAGATCCCATACCGCAGATCCCATGGGCCACAGCTATTGAACCTGTGCTCTAGAGCCCAGGAGCCACAACTACTGAAGTCTGAGAGCCCAGAGCCCATGCTCTGCAACAAGAAAAGCCATCACAATGAGAAGCCCATGCACCGCAACTAGAGAGTAGTCCCCGTTCACCACTAGAGAAAACCCAGGCAGCAATGAAGATCCAGCACGGTCAAAAAAAAAAAGAAAGAAAAAATTATTGCCAATGTTTCAAAGTGGCAATAGTAACTTACATGCCCACCAACCCTGTATGATAGTTCCCATGGCTCTATGCCCCTTAAATTTTAATTATTTTAGAAATTTGTTTTGTATCTTTTCTCACTTCTCCGATAACTGTTTAGCACCTTTTCATACACTTTATGGTCATTTAGACAATAAAAAGGGCTAAAGAAACAGAGAAGACAAAACTGTATCTTATGAAATTTGAAGCTAAAGTTGTATTATTTGTGTGTTAGCGAGCAGTTTACATTTCTAATAATATGTCTCCCATTGACTAAAATCAACCCCACAGGGCAATATCTCTCACACTTCCACACTGCACATATGAGATTATATCTTAAAAAAGAAACAAAATCCTTTACAGTCACTTGAGTGGGGTCTAGGGACTTAATAGTGACAAAGGCATGAATGGAATCCACCATGTTTAACAGAATATCATGCTAATTACTATTATTACCAAAAAGTGGGGTCTAGCTGCTCACCGCTCAAAAACCAAGAAACAGGCCAACCTGGTGGAAGGGAAAGTTTGCTTTATTTCAGACGCCAGCAACTGTGGGACAAGGGCAGATGTCTGTCTAAAGCCAAACTGCCCCCCTCCCCTCCCACCGCCCCCGCCCCCCACAAGCCAGGGGTAAGAGCTTTTATGGACAGGGAGAGGGGGCTACGTACAGTCAGCTCTGATAGTCATCTTCAAATTGGTCATCGGTGGTCTTACCAGCATCATCTTGGTTATTTTAGGTACAGTTAATCTTCAGTTCCAGGGTCCAATTGTTCCCATTTCTTGAAGCCAATTCTTGGAATTGTAGCAGCTTATGTCATGGGTACAGCCTAGTTATCATGCAGTTAGCTTCTTCCACCCCCCTGTTTTTTTTAATTAATTAATTAATTATAATTGGAGGCTAATTACTTTACAATATTGTGGTGGTTTTTGTTTTAGTATCTATAAGACAGCTCATCTATAAGCCATATAGATATGGCTCAGAGCATTATCTAGAGCCCTTGAGGAGGAACTAAAGATCCTTAACTATGCTCAATTAGTACATTATTATTATTTGGTCTTCTTTGACTGTTTGCCTTTGTTTCTGCAAGTTCTTACTTCTCTGATTAAACTCATTTTTTGCCTAAGTCTTTCCACAGACAAAAGGCAGGCAGAGGACATGAGGGGCAAAGACCACAGGGTCCTGCTCTGTTTCATTATTACTGATATGTAGGATATCACACTATTGCCACTCCACTCACAGGGAGTGCCTAGGCTCAGTCCTCATCTAAAGACTGCCAACATTTTTGTCCCACCTCTCAGCACACAGCTTTCCATAAGGCTATAGCACCAAGCAGAAGGTTGACAATAGTTTTGTTCAGGTTGCTTGTAGGGGCAAGGGTGTCCTTGGCTTCAAGCTGAAAATCAGTCCCAGATCCCTCACCTCCTGGGAGGCATAAATCTCTGACTGCTACCCTTGATTCCAGACTTATTTCAGAGCCAGGGGCTCTGTGGCTTCAGCAAATTCACAGAGGTGTTGATGTTTTAAAGTTTAGATCTCTTCACTCTTTTCAAGTTTTGTCTGTCATTGCTATATGTCTGCTACAGGGGTGTGTGTGTGTGTGTCTAAAAGCTGTAAGCCGTTTTCATCTGTCTAGTAAGTTTTTTTCTCTCTCTCTCTTTTTTTTAGCCACACTGTGCAACATGTGGATCTTAGTTTTCCAACCAGGGCTCGAAACTGTGCCCCCCCCCCGCCCCCCGGCATTGGCAGTGCAGAGGGACCATCAGGGAAGTCCTAATAAGAGTTTCTTGAATTGATGACACACAGGAGTTGTGACAGGATGTTAGCTAACTAACATGCTCCCTGTTGTCTTTGGAGTTTCAGCAAAAGTCTCAAAGGCAGAAAGCAACACAATAAATGCCAGGCAACCTCTTCTCCCATCCATTTCAAAGGGAGATGGGATAAGATTGTGAACCAGTCTGCCAGCATTACTAATTATCCACATTGAATCAATATAAGAATGAGAATTGTGTTGGGGAGTTCCCTGTGAGCTATTCCCTCTCCCACCTTTCTGGGGAGGGAGAGAGGGGTTTTCCCCTTTGCCTAAAGCCAAGTGGGGGCTTCCCTGGTGGCTCAGATCGTGAAGAATCTGCCCGTAATGTGGGAGGCCTGGGTTTGACTCCTGGGTCAGGAAGACCCTTTGGAGGAGGGAATGGCTACCCACTCCAGTAATCTTGCCTGGAGAATTCCAAGAACAGAGGAGCCTAGCAGGCTATTGAGAAAGTCAATTCCTAGGAAGATTGATAAGAAGCACAGGGGTCCCCAAGGAGAGAGGGGTCTGGAATTCTCAAGGAGGAAGAAAGGACAAACTTTTTTGGTCCCTCTACATTCCTTATGATTATATAACAATAACGTATCCTGCCTGAGGACAGTCTCTGGAAAAAAACCTACTGGCTAATCCTGTCATCTTAAGGTGTAAATTATGGGAGTAGGTCTAGTGAGGTCTTTACAACCTCCAGACATTCTTTTGATTCACTGTAATAACTAGTTAGAGAGTATATAATTCCATTGCTAACACTAGCAAGGGGGTACTCTTTCTGCCCCCTTCTGATGCTCATGTCAGAAGCTTTCTCTATCTCCTTTATACTTTAATAAAACTTTATTACACAAAAGCTCTGAGCAATCAAGCCTTGTCTGTGGCCCCGGATTGAATTCTTCTCCTCCGGAGGCCAAGAATCCCGGCGCCTTTGTGTGGTTCAGCAACAACCTTTCACTATGGCCCATGGGGTCACAAAGAGTTGGACGTGACTGAGCGGCTAACACACACACACACACACACACACACACACACACACACATCCCCAAGTGAGACACAGACCTCGACTAGCACCTTGCAGAATGTTTGGCTTAGATCTCCTGGAATTAGAAAGGCCACAGGGACTCATGTCCTAACTCCCACCTGAGGAAGTCCATATGCAAAATGCTGGCTGACCAGCTTTCCTGGGAAGGTGAGTAAGGTGGGTTGCACGGAGAATGAGCTGCACTGCCCTTGCCAGTAGGGCAAAGATGCATGAGTTGTCCTGTGGGACAAGTATACCTGGAAGGAAACAACGTGGAATCATTAAAAAGGTCCTTCCCACAAGGGATGCTCTGAGAGGAAAGGAACTTCTTGAGAGTATACTTAACAGAATCTACAGCAGGCCATGAACTTGGAGGCAGGGGGAGAGGAGTCATAGGCACTTAATCAGAGGAGAGGCATTGCCTAGGTCCCAGGAAGAGAGCTAAAAAAAAGCCCACAATGGTGACACGCACAAGAGAGAAAGAGCCAACTTTCTTGAGTCCTCCAAGGCCACAGGGAACCAAATTTCGACGATAACAGCATCCTGCCCCAATTGGAAAAAGCTATGGCCCTTTCCCCTAACCTTTTCTCCTCTTATACCAAACCCTAGGGAAGGGGTTCAGAAATAGCAGCTGGCCAGCAGGACAGGAGGAGTAAAGTCTGAGCAGTAAAGGCAAGGATGCGGAGAAACTTGGCACACCTTCATCACAGCAAGACTCACACCTGAAGCAGGCAAGAGCTAGAGGAGGGGCAAACCCTTAGCTTGAATGAAGCTGAGAGTTGAATTATATTTAGGGCAGGTGTGAAGGGGAAGCAAGGGAGTTTTCCAATTATATACTCTGGGGCCAGCTCCCCTGATAAAAATAATTATTCAGTATTAAAAAAGGATTGAAGAGGAAAAGTTGATACAATGTAACTATACCTGATTTAGCATATATGGACTCCAATGAGCTATAAACACCTATTCACATTTTCTTCACATTTGCTTCAGTTCAGTTCAGTTCAGTCACGCAGTCGTGTCTGACTCTGTGACCCCATGAACCACAGCACGCCAGGTCTCCCTGTCCATCACCAACTCCCAGAGTCTACCCAAACCCATGTCCATTGAGTTGGTGATGCCATCCAACGATCTCATCCTCTGTTGTCCCCTTCTCCTCCCTCCCTCAATCTTTCCCAGCATCAGGGTCTTTTCAAATGAGTCAGCTCTTCGCATCAGGTGGCCAAATTATTGGAGTTTCAGCTTCACCGTCAGTCCTACCAATGAACACCCAGGACTGATCTGCTTTAGGATGGACTGGTTGGACCTCCTTACAGTCCAAAGGACTCTCAAGAGTCTTCTCCAACATCACAGTTCAAAAGCATCAATTCTTTGGCACTCAGCTTTCTTCTTAGTCCAACTCTCACATCCATACATGACTACTGGAAAAGCCATAGCCTTGACTAGATGGAACTTTGTGGACAAAGTAATATCTCTGCTTTTTAATATGCTGTCTAGGTTGGTCATAACTCTCCTTCCAAGGAGTAAGCATCTTCTAATTTCAAGGCTGCAATTGCCATCTGCAGTGATTTTGGAGCCGAGAAAAATAAAGTCAGCCACTATTTCCAATTTGCTTAGATAACACCAAAAGCAATGGGTAACCAAAATTCATACACAGAATAATAAAGACCGAGTGTACACCTCTGGCAGAGCTTTAATTAGCACTCTGCTCCACATAGTCACTTAGGACCCAGGCTGACAGGCTGTACCTTCTGGAGCATGTAGCTTCTTCAGTTCCACAGCAAGGAAAGAAAGAGCATTTTATAACTACTTTTTCCTGATTGCCCAGAGGTGATAGAAGGTGCCTGCATTCACAGCTGTAGTGACTAGAAATAGTCATAACACTCCCCTTTTTGAAATGGGGAAGGAAGCATTCTTTTTCTGGTGCTAAGCATGAGAGGAGCCCCAGATATGGTGCATGAGTGCTCAGTCACCCAGTTGCATCCAACTGTTTCAACCCAATGAACTATAGGGCAAGAATATACTGGAGTGGGTTGCCATTTCCTCCTCCAGGGGATCTTCCCAACCCAGGGATCGAACCAGCGTTTCCAGCATCTCCTGAATTGGCAGGTTGTTTACCACTCACAGATTTCCAGGACATTTTACATGGCAGCCTCACTTACAGAGGCTGTCACCCTTCTTTGATAGGACTTTTACCTGCTGAGCTAGTGTATCTAAATCTTCGATTGCAGGTCTCTGTCGCACATGTTATGAAACATGTTTTTAGACTGCTCAGAAACCTTGTACATAACTCATATTTTCTGCGTAAGAGCCATCACTTTCTCAGATTGCTTTACTTTCACTTCTTTTACTACCATCAATCCTGGTAGTTTTTTCACAGAGAAATCACATTAAAGAAAGCTCTGTACTGTCACATTACACAGTTAAAAGAAAACAACAGAACTGGGTTGAGATCTGGATAACTGGCATTTGACAGTGTTCATTCATTAGCTGATAACTCATTCCCTCATGATGACTTCCCACTATACAGATAATCCCAACTCATATTTCAAACAAAACTGGCTATCTGTGAAAAATAATCGGAGATTCAATTTAATGGACTATGCAAGGATTCATATAAAAAATTCCATGTAAACTGAATATGGGAAACAAAATCGTTGAAAGTGTTAACAAATATGGGAGAATATATTAAGAATCTTGACATGCCAGAAAATCCAACGTCAGCAACTGGAAATTCAAATGCCTATAGGGAGCAAGCAATGTTGAGTGAAGAAAGATGGGTGTGAGCGAGATCAATTAGTAAAAATTTAATTTTACTGAGCTATGAGGTAAGTAAATGCCATTATACAAACATGTGAAATTGGACAGACTCTAAATTTAATATGAAAAATATAAACTAGAAAATGGGAATCTTAGGGAATGCCCTGGCAGTCCAGTGGTTAGGGCTTAGCGCTTTCACTGCCAGGCCAGGGTTCAATCCCTGGTCAGGAAACTAAGATCCCACAAGCCCCATAGCTCTATCAAAAAAAGAAAAGAAAAGAAAATGGAAATCTTTTTAAAGTAATTTTTTGTCTTGTCTCTTCTTTGCAAACAGAAACCTGATTTTCATACCAATTTCAGGCTTTGTGTTTCTAGTTAATAGAAGAAAACTTTCAAGCCATTAGTACTTTATTTTGAAGAGTTCAATTTAGCGTCAACATTTTTTTTTCATGTTTTGACCATTGTTTTTCTTATTTTTTTTTAACGTTTGTACTTAGTATGTATGCAGGACCCTGAGTCCCTGTACTTAGTATACAGGGACTAACACTGCACCCAAGTGTCCAGGAAAATTCTGGTCGCAGACTGGAGGGTTCCAAATCGCTTCCAAAAATCTCTCCAGGTCTCCTAGCTGTCACGATGTGGACCCCTAGCGGTAAGCTACGTTCCCGGTAAGTGTTCTGATTGAGACAGCGACAATTTTACTCGGATGCCTGCTTTGGGTTTGATCTCGCCCCTGAATCGCCCCCATTCCGCACTTCCCATCCTCAATTTCAACTTCTACAAAAGAGGCAAACTAGAAAGTAAATTGTTGGCCGTGGTGTGGCTTCTATGGGAGCCGGGACTTTGTCGGTCGTTCTTGCCGAGGTGCGTAATCTCCTACATAACGCCTTGCAGGTTTTTAATATTCCCATCACTTACAATCATTTCTTGTCCCCACGTAAATTAACAGGGTTGCGGGCAGGGGAAAGGTAAAGATGCTCCCGCCCCCTCGAAGCCACCAGCGTCCCGAGGACGCGAGCATCCCCGGAAGAGCCAACTCCGCTCCCGCTAATCCGTTCCCTTCCGCCCGGCCCACCCCGGGCAGAGCCCTTGGGGTCACGTGTTCGCCGGAGGAGGGGAAGTGGGCGGCTCAGCGGCCGCCATCTTGCCGGCTTGGAGGCGGAGCGTGAGGAGCGCAGGTCGCGCGCTTCTCCTCCCCTCCCCTCGCCCAGCCTCGCACCGCCTCCGTGCTCCTCCCCACTTCTGGCTCCCTTGGCCGCTCCCTGAGTGGAGGAACGGGGAGCCCCGGAGGGCGGGGGGGTGTGTCGGGCCCGTGCTCGCGCCCTCCAACCGCCAGCCGCGGCCGCGGGGGCGCGCTCGACCGGGCCCCAGGGGCTGCTTGGGGCTGAGGGGAGGGGGCTGCTCCGGCTGCGGGGGCGGCGCACGGCGGCCGTGGTGGCCGGGGTTGCAGCTGCGGCGGCGCGCTGGGGGCCCGCGTCCGGGGCGCCCCCAGGTCGGCGCTGCCGCCGTGGCCACGGCTGCCAGGACCATGTACCGCAGCGGCGCCCGCTCCTCCGTCTCTTCACACCGGCCTAAAGAGAGCGGCGGGGGCGACCCGCGCACCGGCCGCAGCTCTGGCTCCTCCTCAGGCCCGGCTCGCCGCACCTCACCGCCGTCCTCCTGCTCCTCCTCTTCGCGGACCCCGGCTCGCCGGCCCCGCTCTCCGTCAGGGCACCGCGGCCGCCGGGCCTCTCCGTCCCCTCCGCGGGGTCGCCGCGGCTCCCCGTCTCCGCTCCGCGGCCGCCGGGCCTCGCCATCCCCGCAGCGGGGTCGTCGCGGCTCCCCGTCCCCGCCGCGGGCCCGTCGCGGCTCCCCGTCGCCGCCGCGGAGCAGACGACTCTTCCCGCCGGGCTCGGCCGGCTTCCGAGGGAGCAGCCGGGGGGAGTCCCGCGCCGACTTCGCCAGGGACGGCCGCGGAGACCATCCAGGCGACAGCGGCAGCCGGGTAATCCCACCCCTCCACCCGGACTCTATGCTCCAGCCCCTTCGCCCGGGATTCCCGCTTTCAGAAACCCTCGCCGCCCGCACGACCCGAGGCCTCCAGGCCGGGGTCCCCACATGGAAGCCCTTCATCCCCATGGCCCCCCTCAGCGACGCCCGAGCCAGGACGTTCCCGGTCAGCCCCGGGAACTTCATTTGCACAATAACGGATTCGGGACGCGCCCGGGCGCCGGCTCTGGACGCCGTGCTGCGTTTCCTGGGAATAGGCTGGTTCTCTCCCTCTGTGTGAGGTGTGAAAAAGTTTGCCGGGCGAGGGGAAGCTCCTCCACGCCGTGTGCCTGGTACTTTTTCAGTAGTTGGTGTCCTTAGAGTTGGGTGGTTTTGTGTGTGTCCCCCTAGAGCTGAGCTGCGCCCTGGATCTGGAAAAGGGTGAAATGTCTTTGTGGCGACTTAGGGTGGCTTAAACAGTTCTCAGGGTAGACACCGAGAGAATGTTAACTGTTAGGTCTCTGTGTTGGAGCTGCTTCTCCGAAAGCGAAGTGTGGGTATCCACAGTCGTTGTAATAGCTGCTGCCACTTAACCTAGTTGTGTGGCAGGAATGATGCTCAGCCCTTCACTTTACACGTTCTCTGTGAACATTCACAACGTTTTTTGGGGGGAAGAGTTACTCCTCATCTAACAGCGGAGGAACTCACAGAGGTTTAAGAAACTTAATCAAGGCGATGCCCGTAAGAAGTGGTGGAGTGTGATTCAGTTCTTTGCCTGGTTCCCAATACCCTGAATTTAACTGTTATGTTTCCCTGCTAAAGGGACAGAGCATGAGGTTAAAAAGGTTAGTTTAGAGGTAATACTGACTTTTCACGCATCTCTCCGTTAGTAGAGCCTCTGGGCAGGATCTGGTGTTTTGGTGTTTGTTTTTATTATTAGTTAACCAATCCTTAAAAAAAAAAGTGACAAAGTTTCTGTTTTGTTTAGTGAATCTCTTAACAGTATCTGGGTACTCTTGGTCATAGGTGAACTGACTTATTAAGATTTTAAGATTTTCATAGCTGAGTATGATAGTCTGAATGTTAATCACTACAGAGAAAGTAAGGAAAACAAAAAACGATGAGTTTCCATAACTTCCCCTTTCTTCTCCAATGCACAACCTATTTGCTCCAGTCTTGTGTCTCAGTAAATGACATCACTCGTTGCTCAGCCAGAAACAGTGATCATCTCCCTTCTCCCAGTCTGTAAGGATAACTTCATCTATCTAAACTATCAGCTCTCCCTCCAAAATACATCCTCCAAACTGTTGTCCTCCTGCCATCATTCTTACCTAAACTTTATTATATCTTGCTCAGTTTATCGCATTAGGCTCCATTACACTCCACTTTTGTTACCATCCAGTTTTTCCTATACTTAGAAATCAAAATGATTTTTAAAGACCTCTATTTTATGTATTTGAGAGATATTTATTGAACGCTTACCATGCTGTTCTGTGCACTGGGAATATAGTAATGAACAAACCAGTCAAAAACCCTGCCCTAGTTGAGCTTATGTTCTGACAGGGGGAGTTGGATAATAAGAGAAGTAAAATGTCTTGGCATGTTAAATATGATTAAGTGCTAAGAGAAAAAACAGAAAGGAGTTACAATTTTTGGTAAGGTAGCCAGAGAAGGCCTTCTGGGAATGTGATTTCTTAATAAAGACCTGAAGAAGATGAGGATGTGAACAGAGTGAGCATCTCGAGGAAGTATGTAGTTATGTCACTCCCCTGCTTGAACCCCTTCTGTGGCTTGTTAAACTAAGAATACAAATCCAAATTTCCTAACTGTGGCTTCTGCCTGTTTTGTGTCACTTCACTGCAGTCATGCTGGCCACCTTTCTGTTCTCCCAAACATGCTAAGCTCATTGCAAAGCATGCTCTTTTTGCCTGAAACATCTTCCATCTGTTCTTTGCAAGACTGACATCTCATCATTCAGGCTCCAGATTAAATGGTATCACCTCAGAAAGCCTTCTTTAACCACCTTATCTGAAGTAGCTCCTTTTCCCCAATCTTTCATGTCATCATGTTTTAATGACTTTATAACACTTCACAGTGCCATCAGAAATATATATTTTTTTTTAACCTGTGTTTGGCTTGTCTCCTTTATTGGAAATATAAAGATTCTGGTAGCAGACTTAATTCACTCCTCTGACCCCATGCCTGGTGCCAGGAAATTAAAGAATTTGGGAGGATTGGAAGTATGGACTTTAATCTAAGAAAATGATAATTTAAAAATTTTATATATATATATATATATATATATATATATATATATATATATATATATATGTTTATTTATTTGGCTGCTCAAGGTCTTAGTTGGAGCATGGGAATTCTTTAATTGTGGCATGTGGGATGTAGTTCCCCAACCAGAAATGGAACCCAGGCCACTAGACCACCAGTGAAGTCCTTGATTATTTTTTTTAAATCCTTTATTTTTGGAGTAGTATCTTACCATAATCATTTCTCACCCTGTAGGACCATAGTTTTAGGAAGGAGAACAGTTTTGAGTGTAGGAATGTCTTGACCCTTTTGACTGTTACTATCTTTTACTTTTGTAGAGACGCTCTCCTGGTCTTCGATCTGACTCTTCTTTGGAACAGAGCTTACGGATCACTGTTGGCAATGACCACTTCTGTGTTGGCATACCAGAACGGAGGCGGCTTAGTGATCGACTGGGGTCACCAGTGGAAAATCTGGAGGATGCAGATAGGTAGGCTTCATCTGAGGCAGGGCACACCATATGAGTACTTGAAGGTAGAAATGTTGCTATTTTCCGAATAATGTATTTGAAAGGGTGGTACCGGCACTGAAGTTTATGCCCTATGTCCAGTAGAAAGTATAACATTGGAAAGAGTGGGGTGGACTCTGTTGCTGAAACAATTATGCAGAAAAAAAAGACTTTAAAAGATCTAAGACTTCCCTAGTGGCCCAGTGGTTAAGACTCTCTGCTTCCATTGTAGGAGGCATGGGTTTGATCCCTGGCCAGGGAACTCCAATCCTGAGTGCAGCATGGCCTGGCCAAAAAAAAAAAAGGTCATCCTGGCCCCAACTGGAAAGGGGAAAGTTGAGGGAATATAAACAGTCCCCCAAATTAAAAACAGTTGAGATGATACAGATTCTAAAATAGTGGAACTAGGGGGTCCCTTCTGCAAAGGAAAGTTCTGAACAAAATAGGATATCTAGGAAATCGACTTATTTATGGCTGCACTGGGTCTTCATTGCTGCAGTTGAGCTTTCTCTAGTTGCATTGAGTGGGGACTACTCTAGTTGTAACCCACGGGTTTCTCACTACAGTGGCTTCTCTTGTAGCGAAGCACAGGCTCTAGAGCTTGGACTCAGTAGTTGGGGTTCACTGGCTTAGTTGCCCCATAGCATATGGAATCTCCTGGACCAGGGATCAGACCTGTGTCCCCTGCGTTGACTGGCAGATTCTTAACCTCTGAACCACGAGGGAAGTCCTTAGAAATCTTTTTTTAAATGGTGTTATTTTTCAGCTTGTCCAGGCTGAAATATATATAGATTCAGAAAAGGTTTCGATAAATTCATGTTTATTGTATATAGGCACACACATATATAGGCATTAATAGAAAGTTAGAGATCTTTAAAAATGTTTAATTTCAGTTATTACTTTACAACCACTGAGGGCTAAGGAAGGGCAAATATACTCCACAGGGTGTTAAATATAGATTTCAGGTACTAGAAACTTAGGTATGTATGGGAAATAAATAATTGTATTACATGTTTTTCACCTTGCAAAAGTAAAAGAGTTAGAATGGGAGTGCAGGGAAAGCATTCTTTCTGAGAGCTGAGAACCATGTCTGTTAATGGTCTCTGCTAAGTATATTGGAAGTTTTCACAAATGTTTAGCAGTAGCAGTAAATCAATATAATGTTCTTTAAAACTGTGACTCTCTGCGAAGTAGTGCACAGAATATAGGCAGGCAGGTGGGGGACAGCTGGGCAGGAAGTGTGAGGACCAGTGCTGCCCTTTGGTAATATTTACTTCAAAGCTTCAGTGACTATTCAATGCAGTGAAGCAAGGCAGGACAGTCATATAACACTGAAGCTTCTGAAGATAGAGCTTCAAGGTATGTGACTATATCACTTAATTGAGGCAACAGCCCATGCCCTTCTGGCTGCTTCTATTTTGGGAGATGATTGAGTAGGCAGTCTGAGTAGGTGGTGCATGATGTGATTCTCTTCCTTCCTTAGGAGCTCAGGTTTTGAGGTGACTTTAGCATTTCCTCTTGCTAGTTCTAGGGTATCAGCTCCCCTTTCCATAAACTGTTATGCATGTGTGCTTCAGGTAAATAGTTGTTTGTTTATAAGTTATAAAAATTAAAAGTTTCCTCTCAATGTATTTGAGGTAGTAATTTTCTCTCTTCAATCCTATTTCAGAGAGAGAAATTTATTTTAGAGAAAGTGAGATTAAGGTTCTAAAAGGAGGTTCCAGGCCATTCTTTAGACTTTTTTGCCCTCAGCACTCTTGCTCAATCTGGTTTGTGTGGATAATTACTGTCTGCTAAAACCAGGCCATAGGAATGTTGGCATTTGCAAAGTGTCTTCCTGACTGTGAGTCCAGTCTTCAGCTAATGAAACAGGCCATTTCCATCATTTGTATGTAGGTGTGTGTTTATTTTTTCCTGAGACCCTGTATTCTTTCTCTTCTCATATTTGATCTGTTAAATTTTATACCAGGTTTGGGTTACAGCCAGATTGCCAGGGTTGTCGTTCTCCTCACCACAGCAGTTCTCTGTGTAGGACTGTAACTTACTCTGAAAAGGAAGTGTGAATAGGTTGTGTGAAGACTCTGAGCTTCTGAATAAGTGTAGACGTGAGGTTGATTTCCCTTGTTTATCAGAGTATTCTGCACATTATACATTCCATTCATGGTATTCTCATCTCCTAACTCCTCCTTGCCCTGATGTAGGGAGTAGGATTTTTTCCCTGTTACTTGCCTTAGGGACAAGACAGAAGCACAATCACTTTCTTCAGGCATTTTGAGGAATCAGCACAGGAAAATAATGGGAAGTTTGAGCTCTGGAGAAGCTTTTTTATCTTATCATATACATTTTTTAGCAGCTTTTTTATTTAGCCATAATTCATATACCTTTGCAGTTCACCCATTTAGAGTGTACAGTTCAGTGATTTTTAGTATATTCATAGCTATACCACTGTGACCAATTTTAGAATTTTTCTTTTTGCCTCATCCTTAGCTACTAGTCTCACCTACCCACCCCCCAGCCTGTCACTAACCTTCTTCTGTATTCTGGCCATTTCATATAAATAGTATCATACAATGTGTGGTCTTTTATGACTGGCGTCTTTCACGTAGCATAATGTTTTCAAGATTCATTCATGTTTTTACATATAACAGAGGTTCATTTGTTTTTATTGCTGATAATAATCTCATTGTATGTATTTTGTTTATCTGTTACCAGTGTTGAGTGGATGGATAGCATTTTAGTTGTTTCTACTTTTTGGCTGTTATGAATAATGCTGCTATGAATATTGGCGTACAAACTTATGTGGACATATGTGTTTTTTTTTTTTTAACTTGCTTAAGGGAATTTGTAAACACAGAAAAAGTAGAATAGTTCAGTGAGGCTCTGTATACCCATCACCTACATCATTCAGTCAGTTCTTTAAGAAAAGAGTTGGGCTTGACCAAAGCTTTCAGAGAGAGTTTGTCACTGGACTATTCTGACCTGCAGGAGATGGGGCCCTTTTTAGGACTCACTTTTATTGCAGTCAGTTCTCTCTCATCCTTTGGGAAAACTAGGAAGGGAGGACATGAGCTTCTAACAGGCAACCTGATTTCTGCCTATATTTACACATTTTCGCATTCTTTTAACTGTGTCTATTCCTTCTTTTATTGGTTTTTGCCTCCTTTTGCAGGAGATTGCAGGTTTGGGTTGAGTCTTTCTGAGAGCCATTTCATTATTTCTAGCTTCTCGATGTTTAATGTTGGATTAGATTTGAGGCTAGAATGTCTCTTGGTGGAGAAAGCTGAATGTAAGAGCAATGGATGAACTTGCCTACTAGCCATGGAGCCTGTAATTTTCCCCTACGCTAATGTGGTCAGAGACTGTGTATATAGATGATGTTTTGGCAGTGGAGTGACTCAACTTATGGACATTCCTCCCTGAAAAAAGATGTGTTCATGGCTGGCAGACCTGCAAAGTAAAATATTTTACTGTATTTATGTTTGATTTCAGAGATCATCTTTGGTCAATTCTCACTCTTTCCTATTATTTCATAGTACATTGAGACCACAAAATTCCCCAAACTCTTGGGGAGGAGGTGAGTAACAGGAACCTCGATTCCCATAGATGACATTCTTATAGAAGAGGTGATAAAATTTATCCTTTATAGTCTTTCATAAAGTTGCTTATAGCTGTAACCCCAGTCTAAAACTGAACAAGAGCTGTGCTAGTGAATGAGAAAAAGCAGCTTTTTGATGTTCCACTAACTTGAGTCCCAGAAATAGGAAAACAACTATTATTAAAAAAAAAAAGTCATTTCTCAAAACTTACAAAAAAGCAGAAATAGCTACTAGAAACTGTAGAATACAGGAATGATTACCATCCTGTGGATAGTAATTCACTCTGAAATGGGAGTGACTTGTAAATTTTTCTAAGTTGTGTGCTTAAAGTACTTCGTTCTTGTTTAGTTGCTCAGTTGTGTCCAACTCTTTGTGACCCCATGGACTGCAGCCTGTCAGTCTCCTCTGCCATGGGATTTTCCAGACAGGAATACTAGCGAGGATTGCTATTTCCTTCTCCAGGGGGTCTTCCCAACCTAGGGATCCAACCCAAGTCTCCTGCATTGCAGGTGGATTCTTTACCACTGAGCCACCAGAAAAGCTTAAAGTACTAGGGGATCTTTATTTCTGTGATTTAAATCAGAAACTTTTAGGGGGCAGTAGAATTTTTCTGGGGCTTACCCCGTGGCTCAGTGGTAAAGAATCCACCTGCCAATGCAGTAGATGCAGATTTGATCCCTGGGTCAGGCGGATCCCCCCCAGGGGAAGGATAAAGCAACCCATTGCAGTACTCTTGCCTGGAGAATTCCATGGACAGAGGAGTCTGACAGGGCTGCAGTTCATGGAGTCTCAAAGAATCGGACAGGACTTAACAACTAAACAGCAAAAACAGAAGCTCTGTGACCGTAATGCCCCAGAAGATTAGGATACTGTGTGTGGTATAGAGATCTGAGCTGAAAGAACAAATGTTCCATCCTGTATTTTTACCTTCATGGTTTAAAAATCTAAGACCTTTTTATTTCTATAATAAATCTATCTCACTGTAATAGAAATATATAGTGAGATAACCATCACATACTTTTTTTTCTGGGCCCAAGATTAACAAAATGCTTATGGATATTCAGGCAAGGCAGGGAAGAGTATAACAAAACAGACTGTGAGGGAGTTTTATGGTTTTTAATATATGATCCAGTGAAACGAAGCAATTGCAGAACCTTCTAAAACTTAACAAGAAAAATCATGCCAATTGGATAGATCAGTGGTTAAAAAAAATTTTTTTCCCATGGTGAAACTCTGTTTTTCCAAATGAAATATTCTGTAGAATTTGACAATATGAACAGGTAAAGTTGGCCTGCTCTAACTCAAATGTTGTTTTTACAGTTTTTGTTTTACACCTTAAAAAACTTTTTTTGGCTGCACCCGGCATACAGGGTGGTACCTGAGAATCTGTGTTTTTAGAAAAAGTTCCTGGGAAATACTGATGTTGCTTATTCAGACCACAGGTTTAGTAGCAAAGAGCTAGTGTGAAGTTGTGTGGCCCAGGACTCTTTGTATTCTGGTAGTGGTATTTTCACATCTCCAAGACCTTTGCATGAGACTCTGCATCCCCAAAGTCTAATCAGAGAAAGAACTCTGTCCAGATAGATTAGCAGTCTCTTCCATTGGTTAGAGGCTGCAGCTGCTTATGCTCTGGGAAAAGGGAGAAGAAATGTTGCATGTATATACGTAGATTTGTTCTGACTTCATGATTACTGTCTTTTGTTCTAAGCATTCTACAACCCCTTGCCAGATGTCAGTCTCTTAGCCTTGTCTGGTCTTGCCCTTTCCAAGTCCATTATATTCAGTGATCCTTGTCTCTTTCCTCAGGGATGACCTGACTGATGATTCTGTCTTCACTCGAAGCTCCCAATGCTCTCGAGGTCTTGAACGATATATTTCCCGGGAGGAGGCACCTCTCAGTCCCTTCTTGGGACAACTTGATGAGGACTACCGAGCAAGAGAAACTTTCCTGCATCGATCTGATTATAGTCCTCATATCAGTTGTCATGATGAGCTGTTGCGGGGAACGGAACGGAATAGAGACAAACTCAAAGGCTCCTACTCTATACGACCTGAGGAAAGTAGCCGGGAGGCCAAACGGCCCCGCTATGATGACACAGAGAAGATGCACAACATGGGAAGTGATCACCCGAGTTTTACATCAGGGACTCGCAACTATCGACAGCGTAGACGGAGCCCAAGCCCTAGGTTTTTAGACCCTGAGTTTCGAGAGCTGGACCTCGCCAGGCGAAAACGAGAGGAAGAGGAGGAACGAAGTAGGAGCTTGAGTCAGGAACTGGTGGGAGTTGATAGTGGCGGCACTAGTTGTCCCATCCCTGGATTGTCAGGTATCCTAACAGCATCGGAGCCAGGATATTCTTTACATCGGCCTGAGGAAGTATCTGTGATGCCCAAGAAGTCAATTCTGAAAAAGCGGATTGAGGTGGACATGGAGCCTTCCTTGCAGGTCTATGCTGTGTTTCTTCTAGGGTGTCTTGCTTGTCTCAATATTTTAAAGCCTAGTTACTTTCCTGGGGGCTGTGTCCCTAAGGTATTTTTGGAATATATGTTGGTGCAACATTGTTATGCTTATGAGCTGTACCTTTCAGGACTCTCAAAGGAAATTGTAGGCCTCACAATGCAATAATAGAGGGCTTCTATTGTGTATTAGGCTTCCTAAGGGGCTTCCATGGTGGCTCAGACCAGGGAAGAATCTGTCTGCAATGCAGGAGACCCGAGTTTAATCCCTGGGTCATGAAGATCCCCTGGAGAAGGGAATGCAAACCCCACTCCAGTATTCTTGCCTGGAGAATCCCATGGACAGAGGAGCCTGGTGGGCTGCAGTCCATAGGGTTGCAAAGAGGCAGACATGAATGAGTAACTGAGCACACAGGCTTTCTAGACAGACATTTTAGCGAGTATCTATTATATAAAGTTTTTTTTCCTCTAAGTTGGATAGTCCTGTAGGATCTTTGAATATGGGTTTCTTGGAAATGAAGCTTGAAAAGTAAAGGGAGGAGCTGATTGAATTTTCCTCATCTCTCTTCAAAGAGAAGAAAAAAATGTATGAATGGTAGGACAGTAGACCAGAAATCAGATAATTCTAATTCTGGATCCATCTCTATCACCAGCATGTGGTGCGATTTTTAGACAAATCACCTAACCATTCTGGACCTTGATATTTTTTCCTTACTTACGGAAAGATGGTCAGGTATGAGCACTTATTTTTACTTGTTCTCTTAGGAGCTAAATGTTTCTGAAGTGCCTGAGGCCACTTAGGGAAGTAAGAGAAGGCTCATCAGTTAGGGATCAGAGTTTCCTGACCGTACTTCAGTCAAAGTAGCTCTGCTTGTATGTTTTTTTCTTTTGAAGATTCATAGAGAAAGCAAGTAAGCTAGGGCATCTCTAAAGTCCTTTTGAATTCAAATTCCTTGTTAAAGACTACAACAAATGGGCAAAAGTTAAGATTCAATCTGCCTTCTTTTCTGTTTCCCTTTGCTACAGCAGAACCTAAGGACCTCCCTTTCATCCACATGTATCTTTGCCCTGTTAATTCAAGAACAACAAAGTATTTATTTCATCTCAGTTACTAGTTTTCTGAGATCCTATGTAGAGGCTAATTTAGTTACTTTTATCTTTGCAGCTTGAGAGTTTTCCCGGCAGTACCAGCTCCAGCCAGGATCACCCTCTTTACTCTGGACACTCATCTCTTCCACTGAGTGGTGCTATTGCCGCTTTCGCCTCAGAGGTTGAGAACAAGAAGGGAGCCGCGGTAGAGACGACCCTGAAGGAGTCTCCGGGCAGCCTCTACCAGTGGGGCCCCCTCCCTGGGGCGCCCAAAGACAGCAGTCCCCTCAGAGAGAAGTTTGGGAGTTTCCTGTGCCACAAGGAAAAATTGGATATGAAGGCTGAGGCACCAGAGCGACACACAGACTTCTTGCTTCCTCACGAGAGAGCTAGCCAGGATGGCAGTGGTTTCTCCTGCATTCTGAGCATGTTAGCAGATTCTACCAGTACGCAGGAAAAAAGGCGACTTAGCTTCCCTGACATTGAGGATGAGGAGAAATTTCTCTATGGAGATGAAGAAGAGGATTTAAAAGCAGAATCTCCACCAAAGCCCGTTGGGAGCTCTGAAAGTGAAGTTATGAGACAGAAGGCAAGCTCCCTACCCTCTTCAGCTCCAGCTGTAAAGCTAGAATCAATAGAAGAGACCAATCCAGAGTATGCCAAGATTCATGACTTGCTCAAGACCATAGGGCTGGATATTGGGGTAGCTGAGATTAGTAAACTGGCTGCACGTACACAGGAACGACTTCATGGCAAAAAGCCATCAGGTTCCTCTGCTGACCGCCGTTCCTCTGCTGACCGCCGTTCCTCTGCTGACCGGCACTTTTCTGCAGACCGCTGTTCCTCAGTTGACCGCCGTTTCTCAGCTGATAGGCGCTCTGCAGATCCTCACAGACTGGAGAGCGGGGAGGTGCACCATAGCAGTACCCACTCCCCAGAAGTGTCTCGTCCACACCAAGTCTCCCCTGTGGATCCTTACTTGCTCACAAAAAACAGCCCCCCGTTCCTAAAGTCTGACCATCCAATGGGTCATATTACAGGACCTGAGGTGGTTGGCAGTGGGTTTCAGTCATCTGTTGCAGTCAGGTGCATGTTGCCATCAGCCCCATCTGCCCCAGTTAGACTTCCACACCCTGCTTCTTTATCTCAGTTTCATGTGCCAAGGGCCTCTCAGTTTGCTGCAGCTCGGATACCTCCAAACTACCAGGGACCTGCCATTCCTCCTGCTTCCTTTGATGCCTATAGGCACTACATGGCATATGCAGCCTCAAGGTGGCCCATGTACCCTGCCTCCCAACCTTCAAATCACCCTCTACCAGACTCACACAGGACAGTGCCAGTTAGCAAACAAGCTACCCGTAGCCGTCCCAACCTCCGTGTGATCCCCACTGTGACTCCTGATGAGCCCAAGCATGAGGAGTCAGTGCTGGGCTCAATTCCTACTGCCCAAGTGCCTGTCCATGTGTCCATCCCATCACTTATAAGATATAATCCGGAGAAGATTTCTGATGAGAAGAACCGTGCTTCCCAGAAACAGAAGGTAAGTGTTAGCTTTGGGTTTCGTGTGCCTACATCTTCTATTTTAACATAAATTTGTACTTGTCTTTTAGAGGGAGCTAAAAATTTGCAAGGTCCAAGGCAATCTTTAGAGACTGCTGTTATTACCATGATTTTTTCTTTGATTGTTTTTTCATTTGGCCTAAAGTCTGGCCCTAGGTCCCACTGCGATTAATAGACTTCTTTTTCCTAAGTTTATTTCTCTATCTGGAATTACCAGCCTTAGGACACTATGGGTAGGAGCTGGGAGCCTTGAAGTCTTTAGTATGACTCATCAGAGAGTGAGGAACCAAAATTGGGTTCCCTTCCTGATTTCCATAGAAATCAAGAAATCTGTGTTTTATCCCAGTGAGTTTTGGATCTTTTTCCTGTAGTGATTATGGGGTTTAAAACTATTCACTAGTTGTTGCTTGGTAACTAAACCAAGAAATAAGCTTTGTTTGTTCTGGTTTAACTTAGAATCCAGGAATAATAATATATTTTATGACACTTTTTTGAAGTAGTTTTTATACTGTCAAGGTTCATTGGGTTCCTTGACTATAGAAAGCAAGCAGTGGCTGGGGTAAAGATATAATAATTTTAGATATTTTAAAGCAGTAGGTAAAATTTTGTAGAGATGAGGAATATAGAATTTTGAATAGAAAATACATACTGTTGATTTTAAAGGTACTTGATAGCTAACAACTCACTTTGTTAAACACAGTGACATAAGGACCATAAAATTATAATATGTGTAAATTTGGTTTGCTAATAAAATAATAAAGACCTGAGGAGAAAAATAGAAAAGGTGAAATTGGAAGGCTAATCTGATTTTTTTCCAGTTTAAAAGAAATTTAGCTAACCCTTGAGAAGACCAAAAACACCTCTTAATTTTCCATTGTACTTGGGTGCCCTGAACTTCAGTGTTTTGTGGGGGTTTTTTGTTTTTTTTGTTTTTTGGGAAAGAGGAGAAGAACTTCCATATGACAAAATCCAAGACTGCAGAGACACTCTCTGAAGACTAGTGCTTTTCCTTTCCTTTACCTTTAAGAACCTAGTATTAAAGTCAGGGCTGACCGTACACAGGGTCTTCACTTGAGTTCCTTATGGACAAGCCATATTTGTTTTTCCCATTAGGTGATAGTAGTATAGTTGAAAGATCAAAGGCTTAAGGGCATATATACTTGGATTTTAAATCATCTTACTATATGATCTTTGGTATGTTACTTAGTCTTTTGCAACCTCAGTTTTCTTACTGTGAAACAGATGATATCATGATTAAATAAGATGATACATGTAATGCAACTAACAGTTCTTCATCCACAATACATATTTGTTCCCTTCTTAATGGTTCCTTTTGGACTCAGAACTACTATCTAATAGTGTAGTGCTTCTACAAAAATAGTAGTTTCCAATCAGTAGAGTTCTGGAAAGGATAATTCTATTCTGGGACTTGGATTGGAATGAAATATCATCTTCATTATAAAGTCGGAGCCTCTGTGTGCAGGTGTTTGTATTCTTGCATTCAGATATTATGTAGTATGAGGATTTCTGGAAAAGAATAGTAGAGAAGGGGGGATGCTGTAGGCTAAAGGGTCTGTTTCCATTTTTTATTTTGCAGGTTATTGAAGAGAGGGAAAAGCTGAAAAGTGACCGTGAAGCTCGCCAGAAGAAGATGTACTATCTTAGAACTGAGTTGGAGCGGCTTCATAAACAGCAAGGTATCAGACACTCCTTTGCGTGGCTGCCCTTTTGTTGTAACTTTAGTAAGAGAGCCAAATGAAGAGCTTTGGGGACTCTCAAACAGATTCATTGACATTGAAGCTTCACTTTCAAAAAAATTTTGATATAATTAGACTTACAGAAAAGTTGCATTAGTAGTGTAAAGAATTCTCAGGTATTTTCCATGATTATTAGCATTTTACTATATTTGCTATATTCGTTTTTCTCTTCCAGTTGTGTATGTGGGTGTAATTTTTCCTGAACTATTTAAGAGTAAGTTGTAGATATGCTACTCCTTTACTCCTAAACACTTAAATGTGTATCTTCTTCTTTTTAAAAATATTTTAAAATTTTTTGGCTGCACTATGCAGTATGTGGGGTCTTAGTTCCCCAACCAGGGATTGGGGTCTTAGTTCCCCAACTGTGTCCCCTGCAGTGGAAGTAGGGAGTTCTAACTCCTGGACCGCCAGGAAGGTCCCAAGTGTGTGTCTTCTGACTACAAGAATTCACTTGTATAACCATAGTACACTTAGCAAAATTAGAAAATTAACAGTAATATGCTAGTCTACTGATCTTACTCATATTTCATCAGTTGTTCCAATGATGTCCTGAAGCAAAAGAAAATTAAAGATTATTATGCATTGCATTCAGTTGTCATGTTCTTTTAGTCTCCTTTAATCTGTAACAGTTCCCAAATCTTGAGAAGAGATCACATGTTTTGTAGAATGTCCTCTAGTTTTGATTTGTCTGATATTTCCTTATGATTAAATTCATGTTGTGCATTTTTAGCACAGGAACATCACAGAAATGATGCTAAGTTCATATCAGGTGTTGATTTGTCCCATACTGCTGATGTCAACTTTGATCATTTGGTTAAGATGGTGTTTGCCAAGTTTCTCCACTGTAAGGTTACTATGTTACCCTTTTCAATTAATAAGTATCTTATAGGTGGGAAACTTTGAGACTGTGTAAATACTCAGTTGCTCCTCAGACTTTGGCCCACTAGTTTAGTATTCTTTGATGATTTCTTGTCCAAATTTGTTATTGATTGTTAAATAGTAATTTTCTGACTTCGTCATTCTATTTACCTTAAGTAGCTTTCTACTACTATTAGTTTTCTACCCACCCCTCCTTCCCCATTTATCCATTTATATAATGTTTACTATTATTATTTATCTTTATGCTCAAATTGCCCCAAATTTGGCCAATGAGAGCCCCTTTAAGTTGGCTCCTTTGTCCTTTTTTTAAAAGTTATTTTTAATTGGAGGATAATTGCTTTACAATGTTGTATTGGTTTCTGCCATACATCAACACAAATCAGCCATAGGTTTATACATGTCTTGTGTCCTTTTGATGTATCCCTATCCTTTTTTGATTTGTGGGTGTATACAAAAAGATATTGTGTACACCCACAACAAAAAGATGTTCCATGATGCCTCTGTTGAGTACACCTCTTCACCAGTGCTTTTAGGACTTCACATATACACTAAAGAAAGAACATAAAATATTACAGCTTGGTGATAACAGAAGAGCCGAGAGTGGGAGAAGATGTAATTTCTTGTTTGACTTTGGACATTTTAGGGATGAGAAGCTTAGTTATTAATCCTGTGAGGATTAATTCATGAGAACCTGCAGTTTGGAATAAGAGATAGCATCAGGTAAACTTAAGGCAAAATCTAAAACTCAATGGATGTGTTGGTGAAGGGTCCTTAAATCAGATAAAGTCAAATATGTGAATAATTATTTGGTTCTCTGAAGAGGACAGCCACAGAATTCACGTATTACAGTTACAATTACAGCATATATTAACTTTTTTGGAGGACATATGCACATAAACTTGTATATACCCTTTTAGGTAGGGATACATGGAGTCTCTCTTTGAAACCTGTCCATAGATCTTTAGCTAATAACCCCTACCTAAGAGATAATGTAATCAGTCAACCTTTGCCTCCATAGGAGCGTCACCTAAACCGGCCCATGTGGAAGGCAAATCTTACCTTCTTTTAGGCTATTTCATGGAGAGAGATTTTGTGAGCATAAAGTCTTAAGGATTAGTATTTATGACTGAAGAATGACTTGTTAACATTCCTGTGTTTCTTTCTGTTTACATTTGACTACTCAGGGGAAATGCTGCGTAAGAAACGAAGGGAGAAGGATGGTCACAAAGATCCACTCCTAGTAGAGGTGAGTCGACTTCAGGATAACATTATGAAGGACATTGCAGAACTTCGACAGGAGGCAGAAGAGGCAGAAAAAAAGCAGTCTGAACTGGACAAAGTGGCTCAGATCTTGGGAATTAACATTTCTGATAAATCTCAGAAGTCTTCAAGTGACAGTAGGGAGCCTACAGAGAAGACTGGGAAAGCAGAAAAATCCAAGAGCCCAGAAAAAGTGTCGTCATCCTCAAACTCCTCTTCCAGCAGCAAGGTAACAACTCAACTTTTCCATTTATATTGTATCTTTTATTTCCATGGACTCCTAAAGCAGCCTTCTAACTAACCATCTTCTTAGCTTACTTTTCCAGTCTGTTCTTACTCTTGCTAGTTATTTTTGTAAAACATAATCCTGGGCCCTCCCATGTTCTGGATCTAGCACTTACACCTTAACTCACTCCAGTCCAGCTTTTACTCTTCTCACAACTTGAAATGCCTTTTTGGTTTTCATGTTTAGCAACAAGTTCACCACCATGTTGAAGAGCCTCAAATTTCAGTTCTCAAATCAGTATTTGATACAAGGAACCACTGTCTCCTAAAAACTGTTTTTTTCCTTTGGCTCCCATCACATTTCTTTTCCTTCTTGTATGTTAGCTGCTCTGCTTAATTTCCTGATCTTTGAATATTTTAGTTCTTCAGGACTCAGTTCTAACCCAGGTCTCCAGAATTCTGCTTTTTCCCTAGGTCATTTTATTCAGTCCTATGCTAAAATACCATATTGACAATTTTCAGTTTTCTAGTCTAGCTCAGGTGATTCTTCTAAGGTTCAAGTCTGAGTGTTCAACAGACTACTCACTATTTCCACTTGATTGTCTCAAATGCCTTAAAATCAATGTATCCTAAATTAAACTAAGATTGTTCTCAGCCTCCCTCTAACCTTTCTTCCTCCTCTGTTTGTTACCCGTCTCAGAGAATGACATTACTGTCCAACAGTTTTTATGCCAACAACCTGAAAAGCATTCTTAGTGCTCCCCCTTCCTAACTGCTCCATCCAATTACAGAGTCTGCCAATTCTCCATCCAAAATAAATCTCAGTTCCATTCATCTCATCATCTCTATTGCCATCCAAGTTCAAGCCACCTTCAGTTCTTGCTTGTACTGCTACTCTCTTAATTCTTTCTCCACATTCAGCCAGTGATTATGATACTATTTTGCCTACCTCTTCAGCCTCATTTCAAATCTTATTTTTCCTTTGCTCTCTGTAATTTCATTACTGGCATTTTCATTCCATAAATGTTTCATCCTCTTTAATGTCTTTGTGTCTTCTCCTCCTTCTAATTACTGCTCTTCTTATCCTGTGTTCTAGCTCAGATTCATCCTCAGATCACAGTTTAAATTATTTCCCTGACTCCCTTTCTTGATTTTCCAGGTTGTTAAATTTGCCTGATACACACTCTCATACCTACATTTTCCTTCTTAACATTTATGGCTTTGTAATTATATTATTACATGTGTTCCCCAGTTAGATTTTAAGGTTCAAGGAATCAGGGACCATATCTGTCTCATTCTCCAATATAGTCCCCAATACACAGCTCAGTGCCTGCCACATAGCAAATAGATAGCGCTCAGGAAATCTGACACTGCACCTTATATTCCTGCCACCTCAGAATCTTGCACTTTTCCACATGTGCAGTATGGTATGTGCCTCTCTAATATTGCATTAATAATCCTCTTAGCCTGGAATAATCTTTCTCCCAACCCTACTCATCCACTAAGGCCCAACTTGAATACTCCCCTCCTCGGTGAAGAATTCCTGAATTCCACTGTGATTGAGTCAGACGTTTTTTAGCATTCCCATAATATATTACTTTGTTCCTTTATAAAATATATTTCATTCTGTCTTACTGAAAGCATGATTAAACTCATGCCTGATTTCATGCCTGTCTCTTGTACTAAATGAGAGCTTCTTGAGAATAACAGAGTATAACTTCCCTATTTTTGTGTTTTCCCATGGCATCCAGTATGTCTAGTACCATAGTAGATGGTCAGTTAATATTGGGGTTAGAGAAGAAGATACTCTGTGTTCTCTGTCAGCCAAGCTCTAATTTTTTTATGTCTTCCTGGGAGAGTTCTCTTTCTCAGCCAGGTAGGACTATTTTCTTATATCAGGATCATTGAGTTCAGGGCCTTTGATGGGAGAAGAGCTTGTAGTTGACTTACACATTCTCTGGGGTTCCGTTTAGGCATCAACCCCATGATAAACTACCATCTTGACTTGAGTGAGAGAATGTTCTCTGAAGTTAACAAGAATATGTTGCAATTTGATTTTCATTTCAGCAATAAGGAATGTTCTTTCTGCAAGTTCTGTTTCCTACCTGTCTTTGGTCTTTCTTCTTTCTTTGCCTCTTTTTAAAATGTATGATTAGTTTGATTTTCTTTCTCTTAAATCGCTTATTTCATAAAAGTAAACACATGCACATTTCCACAGTTCCATTCACTTAGACATAGTTGTTACTAATAAGTTGGTGTGTATTATTCCAAATTACCTTTTTCTCTTCATTCATTTAATAAATATTTCTTGGTCTCCCAAAAAGTGCCAGACAGTGTTTAGATATGGGAAGCATAAAAGGGAACTATGTAGTTGGTGGTGGTAGTGGTTGTTCAGTTGCTAAGTCTCTCTCTTTGCAACCCCATAGACTATAGCACGCCAGGCTCCTCTGACTTCCACTATCTCCCAGGGTTTTCTCAGATTCACATCCAGTGAGTCGGTGGTGCTAACTAACCATCTCACATCTTTTGCCTTCAATCTTTCCCAGCATCAGAGTCTTTTCCAGTGAGTTTGCTCTTTGCATCAGGTGGCCAAGGTATTGGAGCTTCAGCTTCATCATCAGTCCTTCCAGTGAATCCAGGTTCCTATGCAACATTGTTCTTTATGGCATTGGACTTTACTTCACCACCAGGCACATCCACAGCTAGGCGTCATTCCTGTTTTGGCCCAGGTGCTTCATTCTTACTGGCCCAGGTGATTGCTTTTCGCTTTTCCCCAGTGGAGCATATTGGACACCTTCCTACCTGGGGAACCTCATCTTCTGGTGTCAGGTCTCTTTGCCCTTTCATGCTGTCGATGGGATTCTCCAAACAAGAATACTGGAGTTGGGTTGCCGTTTCCTTCTCCAGTGGACCACGTTTTGTCCGAAGTCTTCATTATGACCCTTCCATCTTGCCTGGCCCTGCCTGGCATAGCTCATAGCTTCACTGAGTTACACAAGCCCCTTTGCATGACAGGGTTGTGATCCTTGTGGCTCAGTGGTAAAGAATCTGCCTGCAATGCTAGAGATGTGGGTTCGATCCTTGGGTTGGAAAGATCCCCTAGAGAAGGAAATGGCCACTCCAGTATTCTTGCCTGGGAAATCCCATGGATGGAAGAGCCTGGTGGACTACAGTCCCTGGAGTCACAAAAGAGTCAGGTTACAACTTAGCCACTGAAAGCTATGTAGACAAGGTCCTTATTGCCTTGAAATGGGAAATATGCAGGTTAGGTAATGACAAGTGCCTAAAAAAGAAAACGGGCCAAGGAATATGGAGTAGTTAGGGAAAGTCTTTTGAATAAAGTGACATTTGACATTCTGTGTCTAGTCACATATCTGTATTGATTATTCAAATACACCTTTTAATAGATTTGTGTTTTTAAAAAAAAATTGGTTGCACTGGCTCTTTGTTGTGCACAGATTTTCTGTAGCTGTGGCTGCTGCTGCTAAGTCGCTTCAGTCATGTCCAACTCTGTGAGACCCCATAGATGGCAGCCTACCAGGCTCCTCCATCTCTGGGATTCTCCAGGCAAGAACACTGGAGTGGGTTGCCATTTCCTTCTCCAATGCATGAAAGTGAAAAGTGAAGGTGAAGTCGCTCGGTCGTGTCCAACTCATAGCGACCCCGTAGACTGCAGCCCACCAGGCTCCTCCGTCCATGGGAGTTTCCAGGCAAGAGTACTGGAGTGGGGTGCCGTTGCCTTCTCTGCTAGTTGTGGCAGATGGGGGCTACTCTTCGTTGTCATGCATGGGCTTCTCATGGTGATGGCTTCTCTCGTGGAGTATGGCCTCCAGGGCACACGGGCTCAGCAGTTGTGGCTCATGGACCCTGGCGTGCTCGGGCTTCAGTAGTTATGGTGCATGGGTTTAGTTGCTCCACAGCATGTGGAATCTTCCCAGACCAGAGACTGGACTGGTGTCCCCTGCATTGACAGGCAGATTCTTATCCACTGTACCACCAGGGAAGTCCTATTCAAATGTATTTTGTTATTTTGTTATTGTTCAGTTGCTAAGACTCTTTGCAACACCATGGACTACACCATGCCAGGCTCCTTTTTCTTCCGCTATCTCCCAGAGTTAGTGGGCGATAGTTGCTCACATTCATGTCCGTTGAGTTGGTGATGTTATCTAACCATCTCATCCTCTGCCACCCCCTTCTCCTTTTGCCTTCAATCTTTCCCAGCAACGGGGTCTGTTCCGGTGAGTCAACTCTTTTCATCACGTGACCAGAATATTGGAACTTCAGCATCAGTCCTTCCAATGAATATTCAGGGTTGATATCCTTGAGAATTGACTGGTTTGATCTGCTTGCAGTCCAAGAGACTCTGAAGCATCTTCTCCGACACCACAGTTTGAAAGCATTTGTTACTTACTCTTCTAGTATTTCATGACTATCTTTCCATGTCAATAAATAGACTTCTGTAATATCATTTTAGCAACCTTATTTTTATTGTTGTATGGATAACAAATTTAACCCGTTAAATCACCTGTAGTTTGACCTAATATCCTAAGGATAAATATCATGGACTAGAATTCCTTGGTCAAAGGTATAAAGAATTTTGAGGTATGTAATATGTATTCCTCAATTATCTTCTGGAAAGGTGGTGTCATTTAGTATTCACAAGCAGTGTATGCATGTGTCCATCCCTTACCTGCTGGGTATGATCTCTTTAGTGACCCTTGAATAGGACTATAAAAGGGAAAGATTATCTTTGAAATCTCAGTTGTTTCCCTTTCTCCCATTTAGTCTTCCTTTCCCCACCAGCCAATAATCCAGGTGCTCTGTTCCCTGATCGTGTCTACTGTGAAACCTCCTTCATACTTACCGTCTCTCTGTCTCAGAATTATCTTTTTTATGTGCCTCACTCCCCAGTATTATCCAGAATTCTCATTTCCTGAATACCTTGTTCTCAGCTTGCTGAAAAATGAATTCATATTATTTATTATTGATCACTTAATGTTGGAGAGTTGATATGTTTTAAAAGAGGATTCATATTTAACTGAAAGATGTTAAATTCTAATGGTGACATTTTAGGCAGTTAGAAACATTACTCAGATTCCAGTAAGTCATCCTAAGTAGATGACTTTCCCCTTTATCTATGCCAGCCTAGGTTCTCTAGTTTTCTTTACTGGATGTGTCTGTGATAAGAGAGTTCATGATCATCTGTTTTGTTTTGTTTTTCAGTTGCTTAATCTGTCAATTACCTTTTCCATTTCCTCTTCCCTTCCTAGTTGTTATCATGGTTGATAAGCTTAACTAATATATTTAGTTGTACAGGTAATACATTTAATGTCTACCAAAGGTGATACTAAAGAAGATTCCTGTCCACTCTTGTTCTCTACCTCTCTCCTCAGAGGCAGCCAGTGTTTCCATAATCCTGAGTATTCTTCTAGATATTTTCAGATATATAAGTAAATATATTGTCATAATGATTTGTTCTTCATGATGACATGGCACTGGAATCAAATTAATTCTCTTTGAGTCTTGCAGACAGATTTCTTGTGTGGTTTGTCCCAGTTTGTGCAGCTTTAGGCACTGGAAATATGATCATATTGTCCTATTTCTGTTATTGTGGTAGCTACTTGCTTTTTCTGAGGGAAGACAGATCTAGATTGTCTTGAATTCCTTCTTAGTACAGGTTTTTCCCCCTCTAGGAATCGAAGGTAAACAATGAGAATTCCCGTACTAAGAGCCCCAAGCCTGCTGAGAGCTCTCAGCCAGCTAAGCAGTCTGATCAACCTGTTGCTGCCTATGAGTATTATGATGCTGGCAATCACTGGTGCAAAGACTGCAACACCATCTGTGGGACCATGTTTGACTTCTTCACCCATATGCACAATAAGAAGCACACACAGGTAGGTATCTTGCCCTCTGTTATTTCCATTCTTGCCCTCCTTCCCCTCAAACTCCTATACCCCCATCTGTATTACAAAGCTGGAAAATGAAACATTCTCATATGGGCAGGAGCCCCAATCTGAAGAGCCAAGAGGTACCAACAAAGGAGACACCATCCCCAGGGCTCAGTCCAGGGGACCTGCCTGTAACTAAACACCATGGCAAGTGTAAGTGAGGCTGCTGCCTCTTTTGATTCCTTGAGTACCTGATTATTTGTTTCATTTTATCCATTGCTAGTACTTGCTCTAACATATGTTTACCTTTTCCACAGGTGATTTCCATTTAAACAGTTGGCAGAGTGGGTGGGGGTGGGCAGCTGGGGGCTTCTGGTCCCCCCTGGTTGTTGGGGAGAAAAAGAAAAGTGGGTCATTGAAATTTTAGTGCTGTGTGTGAGCGCCTCTGCCTCTTGCAAATAGACACTGGATCCCTACAACAGACCTTGGGCTTCAAAGACCCAGAATGAAGCCAAGCAAGATGCTGTAAAGCGCACTGACAAGATAACTGTTCCTGCAAAAGGTATGTTTCTTCCCTGCCATTTTTGTGGTTCCTTACATTCAGTCAGGGAAGATGTATCCCTGAACTAAGGTGCAAGGAAGCATCATAGAGTGAGACATAACCATTACTTCTAGCAAAGCTGCAATATTGCATTCCATGTGCACAACTAGGTCCTAAAGAAATAAAGAGCTATAAGACAGGAACAATCTCTATCCATATGGCCAACAATCTAACAGATGTTAAACACACACATACCACTCTAAAATAAAACTTTCTTTGTGCTTGCTTTGGCACCACGTGGACTAAAATATGACTTTCTTCACCACTGACTTATGCACCAAAACCTTATTTGAAATCCAGGTGAAAAAGAACAGTAAGAGGTGCAAAATAACTGCCTTTTCAGCTAAGAACTATAAAATATTTTTGAATAGTTGTCATTATGGGCTAAGTTGAGAAATAGTTTCTTTGTCTTTAAACTTCTCAGCTTCTTACCTTTGTAAGTAGTCAGTGCTTCTACATCCTTTATATCTGTAGAAGATAAATTCCTAAGTAATTAATACCAAAATGAGAGATTCTCATACAAATGGTACTGGGTTTTTTAGGAGTACAATTTTTAAATCTCCTAAGATGCTTAGTGCTAGTTAGAATTTGAGGAGAATCAGCAACAAAAATGAGTCTGGCACAGAAAACTCCTAAATTAACCAGTTAGGGGATTAACCAGTTAGTGTTCCCAAAAATGTAGAAGGGATGGAGGTCCTGAGTTTAGGCTTTAAGTTAGAAAAACACACCATTGAGATTCTAAATGCTCCTTCTGACTTGAAAGTGAGTAAAGTCCTCTATACTGTTAATCATTTTACTGCAAAAGGGAAATGGGATTTCCTTTGGTTGCTGTCATCTTGGGTTAGCAATGACTGACTTTCTTGGCTTTGTTCCACTTCTTACAGGCTCTGAGTTTCTGATTCCCATCACTGGATATTATTGCCAGCTCTGTGAGGAATTTTTGGGGGATCCAATTTCTGGAGAGCAACATGTGAAGGGTTATCAACACAATGAGAAATATAAGGTTGGTCTTTGTAGTAGCCTGTGGAGTTTTCCCACTTTCTGCAGTAATCCTTTTGATGTTGTCAAGCTCAGAGGTAGAAAAAGTCCTTAACACTTCAAATTCTGTATAACCATAAAGAAGTTCTCAGTCCTAACAAGAAATGCTAACCTGAGAGGACCATTTATCCTTGAGGAAGGTGACTCAAAATTTTCACTAAATGAGTTCTGATAATGGTAGGGCCAGATTTTCTCTCTTAAAGCATTTTGCCCAGTTACTGAGCCTTTATCTTTTCTCTTCCCTAGAAATATGTGGTTGAAAACCCATTGTATGAGGAGCGACGGAATTTGGACCGCCAGGCTGGCTTGGCCGTGGTTCTAGAGACAGAACGGCGACGGCAGAGTGAGCTGAAGCGCAAGTTCAGTGAGAGACCGAAGGAAGAGAAGAAAGAAAAACAGGCAAAGATTATGAAGGAAGTAAAGGAGGACGACAGGGTGTCTGAGGAATTAGAGGACCAGCTTTCTGAGGGTGGAAACTCCCCTGAAAAGGCTGAAAATAGAAAGAGGCCTAGCATCAAACTCCAATTAAAAGAAGAAATAAAAAAAGAACCACCAATATCTTCCTCTTTCGGGAAATTCAGCTGGAAGAAGCCAGAAAAAGAGGAGGAAAAAAGTTTAGTGATCCCAAGTATTCCCAAAGAAGAGATTGTGGAAAGTGGTAAGGACAAAGAGGATGCCAAAGCTGATCCTGGGAAGGCAAAGCCTATCAAAATCAAACTCTCTGGGAAAACTGTTGTTGCACATACTAGTCCTTGGATGCCTGTAGTGACAACTTCAACCCAGACTAAGATCCGACCCAACCTGCCCATTCCATCCACAGTCCTCCGCAAATCAGGTTCAGCCACAGTAAGCAAGCCAGCTCCGCTTAACACCTTTCTATCCATCAAGTCTTCTGGAACCACTGCTAAGCCTCTGCCAGTGGTTAAAGAGTCTTCAGCTGATCTCCTCTTGCCTCCCGACATCATCTCTAAAGCATTTGGAGGGGAAGAGGTGATTTTGAAAGGGTCTCCAGAGGAAAAAATGGTGCTGGCTGAAAAGAATGAGCCACCACATATACCTGAACAAATGCTACCACCTCCACCACCACCACCTCCACCACCACCTCCACCACCTCCAGTTATACCTCCTCCAGCTGCCCCATCTCCTACCCAAGCAAATGCTATTTTGGCTCCAGTAAAATCAAACCCAGTTGTATCTCACACTGTCATCCCTGGCTTCCTGGGTCCTAACATTTTGAACCCAGTATTACCAGTAGCCATCATGGCCTCAGCACAGCCTACTGCCATTCCTTCTGATGAGACGGCTCCTGGGGTGAGTGAGAGTGACCGGGACCAGACCTTATTCTCTGTGTTGGTGCGTCCTCCACCTCCCCTCTCAAGTGTGTTCAGTGAACAAGCCAAAAAATTGGAAAAGCGGAATTCATGCTTAGCCACAGCCAATGCTAAGGATCTGTATGACATATTCTACAGTAGTGGTGGAAAAGGAGCCCCTGAGACTAAGCTGAGTGGTGGTCCATTGGCCAATGGGGAAAATAGAGCTGAAAATTCAGACACCTCTTCCACTTCTACTTTGAACAGCAGTGCATCCCAAGAGGAGTTGCCTTCAGGTAGAAATTTGGTCTCTGCTCCTTTGGTCAGCAACTCTGAAAAGCCCATTTCAAAACCTTTGGTGTCCTTAGGAAGATTGTCAGTTGTAGAAAATGTAGATTCAAAAAACAGAGGCAGCAGCTATGGCTTTCTGCAGCCTCTGACAAGGTTATGCCAAAACAGGCCTTATGAAACTATTACTCCAAAGACAGAGACTTTGGTCAAGTGGGCGTCTGGTTCCTTCCAGAGTGATCCTAATAAGGATATAGCTCCAGTGAGGAAAATTGAACTTGACGTGGGAGACCCTGGGCCACCAGGTGTGGAGCCAGCCTCTGAGCTGTCAGATATACAGTGTCATACCATGCAATCTCAGAAGTTGGTAGAAACCCACCTTGTAGAATCTAGTAAGCAGCAAAGCCAGGAGCTCCACCAGTCTAAGGATTGTGGGAAAAGTGAAGTAGACACAAGCACTGAACTAAAAGAAGAAGTGAAACTCTCTGAAAGGACAGTGAGAGAGGGAACAGATATCAGTGTTGGGCCCAATAGCATAGAGGACTCTAATTTGAACAGTGGGAACAGATGCATGTGGGAGGAAGAAGTAGAACAGCCCAACTCACATAGGACTGAAAAAAAGGCTAAACAGTCCAGGAAATTGATAACAGAAAGTAAAACTCAAGGTAAAGTAGTACCTGAATTGAAGACACAAGCTGTCTCTTCCACAAAGGCAAAAATAGACTCATTTCCGTCAGAAGCTAGGTCTTTACTCCAGAACCCACAAGATGTGAAAATTTCTGCCCCAGCATTGCTTCTTCAGTCCCCAGCCAGATCAGATATGTGTTTGAAAGACCATGAGCAGAAGCAAGGAGTTTCAACTGGTAGTGAGGAGTGGCTAGAAAATTCAGCACCAGAATCAGCTTCCAGAACTTCTAGGTACAGAAGCCTCAAACTGAAGAGAGAAAGATCAAAAGACTTGCAGGGTAAAATGACCTATAAACTGACTGTTTGGGATGAGAACAAGAAGCCAGAGACCTGGGAGAGCCCAGAGAAACCAAAAGCAGAAGCCCTGGAGCTTCGAGATGTCCATCCAGAACTAACAGTGACAATAGAGAACAAGGCCTTAGAAAACTTTGAAGTTACAGACTTAAAAGTAGAAGAGCTTGCTGCCCTGGGAAGCCTGGGGGATATAGGTATTGATTTCTGCAATACTCGGGTAGACCCAGCACATAGATCCCCAGTTGCCCTGTCTCAGAAAGTATGTGAAGAAAATTCAGTGTCACCTCTAGGAAGTAATCCCTCCAATCTCACCGACTTTGAACCAGTACCATCCTTTTCTGAGTTTCCCTTAGATTCTCCCAAAACCCTGGTGCTGAACTTCGGAGCAGAGGATGAACAAAACTCATCTAATCCCAGAACTGGGAGGATCACTTCTAACATTTTGAAAAGTGGACTTCCTATAGAAAACGTTGGCCTTGGCTTGGGGAGCCTCGAGGGAACACACCAGGCCCTGGACCTGTTAGCAGGAGGAATGATGCCTGAGGAAATAGAAGAAACATCTCAATTAGAGAAACAAGATTCACTCAGATTGGAATCAGAAACAATTAATCCTTTAGGCCTTGGGCCATCTCCTTGCCTTCCAGACCTTGTTGATTTTGTCACACGGACATCTGGAGTTCAAAAAGAGAAGATATGTTCTCCTCTCTCTGAGCCAGGTGACCGTCCTGAGTGTAGTTCCCTGGAGATGGGACCACTGCAGCTAGAAATACCGAATGCATCCATCACGGAAGTAGCAGTTCCTCAAGTAGATGAGTATAGTGACAACCCTTTGAATGTGGTAAAATCTGTGGCTTCAGGGTCCCATACAAGGGAACAAGTAGCCGGAGGCAGTACGATCCCTCAGGAAATAGCTGCACAAGAAGCTGCAGTTGATGCCCTCCAGGACCACACGGAATCCAGTGTTCACAGCTGAGATAGCACATTAAGAGCTACTTGTGGACGAATCCTATTGGCTTCTAGAAATCAGGTGCCCAGGTGACCCAGGACTAGTTGGATCTCATCTGGAACCTACACTAAGAGATGCAGTCAGCATCTTAGAGTAAATGTTCATGGAAGCTAAAAAATTTACCTCCGTTCCTTTTTTCCTTAAAAAATCAGACAAATCAATCATAATTTCTATACATATCTGTAAAAAAGTATTTTCTGTTAATTATTATTATTATTTTTTGCCAATTTATTTTCTCCAACTTTGTCATTAAAATCAAATGTCTATCTGGCTCACCACCTAGTGTGCTTTGATTGTATTTTGGTTTTGACTCTGCCATTTCTGGGGGAGGAGGGAGACAGAGCTGACTTCTCCAATTGCTGTGTTGTATTCCCATCCAATTTTTTGGGCAGCTGATGGATCTCTGGGAGAAAGACAAGAAAGCCTGCTGAAATGGAAAACTACTGATGAAGGAAGGATTGTTCATCTCTTAGGCTTTCCATTTGGATGGGCCTGCCTTAACGTTGTTTGAAATGCAGCGTGAGTAGCCCTTTTGTTTACTGTTCACTTCCTTGTGGCATGTCAGTTCCCACACTTCATTCTGTTGCCCTTGCTTGAGCTGGTCCTGCTAATCCACAACCTATTTGGAAATGACCTCAGTAAACAAGGAAGAAAATCTACCAGGCTCACTTTTGGAAGACAACAAATCGGTAAGGCTTATTCATGGCTCAGTACCAGGAGCAGATACGCTTTTTGGGTCCCTTTTGTTTTTGAAATGGCGTACTGTGATCCACTGACACTTTGTGCAAAATTATTTAGTAGCCATTTTCTGTTCTGAAGAGGTAGAAGATCTGAAACTTGTTTTGGGATTGTACTCATTCTCTGTTCCACACTCATATGTATTCCTCTACCTCTCCCTTTCCCATTTTTTCCTCCTTAGTGTGATGTTTTGGGTTGTACATTTGTTCAAAAGATTAAAGATTTATGAGTTGACTTGGACAAGTTTAACTTTATTTTTATTGTGTTAAATTACTTGGAATAAATGCATTAATCTCATGTTTCTTTCTGGATTTTTGTTTTGCAACCACACACATTTGAATTTCATTGGAAAGCTAGAACAATGAACTTCCTCTGCCCTATTGTCTGTCTCCCCCTCCCAACCTTCTTTCCCCAGTTGTTAGGGCTACTTTTGTTAGGTTATAGTCTCTGCCCCAGTGCTTCCTGGATGGGTGGTGAGTAGGCAGCAGAGGTCTGGTTTTGGCATCTTTCTGTTGTGCAGCATTGTATATATTTTTATGTTGACTTTCCCAGTGCTTCTCTGGGAACTGAGCTCCCCAAAATACTCATGTTCTTGCTGAGGGTGCTCTTGGGCAACAGGGAGCTTGGTCCTTAGATTTTCTAATATCTGTCCCAGTTTCCTCTTGACATTGTAACCTGGCTCAATAGAAGCTTTGATGTCTTATTTTCCCACATGCCTCAAAAATAATGCAAAGTTGCTGATCTTTTTTCCTAAGAATTCTTGTTTTTCTGTTAACTTGTGTGCAGAGCTGCAGAATCTCTGTGTTAAGTTTATGAAGGCTATTTTTCTTCACTGATTTAGAAATTTAGAAGTTGTCCTGGCCTCCCTTATTCATCTTGTGGAAGGGGCACAGATTTGGAGTAGTTAGGTCCTTGGATGATCCTCGGCCATTTGCCTTACTGTGGTTTCAGACAAGTTACTTTGCCACACTGTGCCATAGGGATTTTTTTTCTTTAATATGGAGGATCATTGTCTCCATCTCACACCAGATGTGTACAGGGTCAGCCATCCTGAACTGTCTTCCGGAGTCTGCTTTTTAGGCCGAAACCTGAGTTCAGTGCATTCTTCTGGCCTGGAGACCATAAGCAGATTCAGAAGGTCCCTTTTAAGAAAACATAAACCTGGGTAAGCTTCGGAGATATATTTGTTTCTCCAAAGAACTGCTCCCTCTCCATTCTGGGAGTTTATTTACAGAAATTCAGAGAAGAGTTTAAAATGCCAGTAGTTACTGATTTTCAGGACTGTTCACTTAGTAAGTTCCACCTCCCTTTGGGGAGAGATGGGTGAGTTTAGGTAGGCATGGAGAAGGGTTAATGCCATACAGATCCCAGCGCTGAACTCTCAAAGTCAGAATCTTACTCTCTGGTTAGAAGTGGGTCACGTGAGAAGGATGGGGGAGGGAAAAGACAAAATTTAGGAAGGGTAGAACTAATTTAGGGTCAGGAAGGTCCCCTGGAGAAGGGCATGGCAACCCACTCCATATTCTTGCCTGGAGAATCCCATGGACAGAGGAGCCTTGTGGGCTACAGTCCATGGGGTCGCAAAGAGTCAGACACGACTGAAGCGACTTAGCATGCATGCATGAACTAATTTAAGTAACTGGGGCTGGAGTACTTTGAGAAACTCCTCTTGTACTCTTGATAAAGGGCCCCTACCAATCTTAGGCTTTTTCTAGAGTAATGCCCATGTTTAAGAGCTGAAGCAATGGTGTTCTTCATATCTGCCTTTAACCAGCAGAAGGAGAGCTTTTAGGATTCTGTAGTTTGGGTGGAAAGTGTTGGTAGCTTCCTCTTTGATCAGTGGGATAAGGTTTTGGAGCTTATCTAGAGAAGCCATTTGAAAGGAAGGGCAGAACTTGAATCCACTTGCTAGCACCTAGAGTCAGGGCCTGTTTCTTTTTATTCAGTACTATCACAGTACTGAGTAAATTTTCGTCTTAGGAGACAGGCACATGCAAGGAGTGGATCCTAATCTTTACATGTGGCTTATGGTGTCACATAACTTTTAAACATCTGCAGACATCAGAAACAGTTTTTGTTTGACTCCCTCAATTATGAGAACAGATGATCAGCAGTTAGTTTTAAATTTCAGCGAACACCAAGTTTTACCTAGGTTGTGTAAATAACCCCCTAAAACTTCCCCTTGGCTTTGTGAATGGAGGCCTTTGCTTTGTAAACCTCTTTCTTTGCAGCTAGCTTCAGGGCACATAATATTCTTAATAACCCTTCTGCTAAGCACACCTGTTTTACGCTATGCCACTCCATCTCTGAAAAATGTCAAAATGTTAGCTTATGTTTTCGTAGTAAACACGCCAGAGTGTATATCCATTTAAAAGCCTGACAGGTTAAGAGACTGAGCAAGAATGGGGAGGTGGGGCTGGGGAGTTTGGACATATAGAATACAGGCGTCCAGTAGGGACATTAAGTGTTTTATTAAAAAAAGGGGGGGGGGTGCAGGGGATCAGGGAAGAGACAGTAAGGTGGGATTTTGTAAAAATACATATTCCCAAGCCCTGGTTCTAACTTCCACAAAGCTTACCTTTGTTCTAACCTACGAAGAACCTAAGCAAGGACTTCATTAACAATTCTGTGAGAACATGGACAAATAAAAATAATTGAGATTGTGAGCACATTCTTCTTCGAGTTTAATTTTACAATAATGTCTTATGTAATTTTTAACCAAAAATTACCTATGCAATAACAGTATTCATTGATAGGCCAAGAACCTGAATTTACAATGAAAACCTACCCTTGAAAAAATCATCACCCAGATTTGCCCTCAACCCTTAACACTTTTGAAGACCATGTGCGTTTACATTGTAGCACTTATTGTGGTTGTACTTTTATATTTATGTGTTTCTTTGATTCATATGTGCCTCTTTCCCACTCCCTTCCCCCAACTAAATTATAAATTCTTGAGAGCAGGAAGTCTGTCTTTGCTTACTGTTTTTTATCATTGTATTCACAGTATACAGTTGCCTGGCACATTTAAGAGTGCTTGATAAAAATTCAGTAGAATTAATGTGGTAGTAGTAACTATTTTTTTTAAATTAACTGAATACTTAGCACTTTATAAGTGAGTAAAAGCTGTGTATTGCTGATTGTATTTCCTGGGTGCTTAATACTTCAGAAGCTGACTGTCCTCTTGCTTCTTTGTCCTGGATCTTTATCTACAAGGCAGTGTCTATAGCAGTGAGTGAATAACAAGGCTTCCATCATTTCAACAGCATTCCAGAAAAGTGGTTGGTGCCAGGCTAGGAGGGGGACACTGCCCCTGAAGCTCCTACAAGAAAAACAGGATGGGAAGGGGGCAGTGCATTGACTTTAGAGTTCACAATAAAAATCTTTAGGGACTCTGATTTTCAGATGGCTCCTTTTCTCCTTTCAGCCAGATTTTATAGGCATGTTGAAGTAAATTAAGACCCAAATCCCTATGATTTAGCTGAAGGAATAATTCAACCTTTCATAGCCCAGCATCCTGTTGTCACTTCATCAAAATTCTAAATCAAGCGGTCAATTTTATTTCTGGAAGGAGACAACCAAAAGAGTTGCCTTTGGAAAAGGAAGGAGTGGTGCTTTCACTTTTTATTTTGTGTATTTTTTGTTTGAACATTCTGACCATGAAAATGCATTTTATATAAAACAAATATTTTATATGCATATAAAATATGTACACATACAGAGAATTTTTATGTCAGTGAGACTTCTCTGGTGCTGAGAATTGTAGACCAGATTTTTTTCCCCCTTCTGTATACTCTTATGTATTAAAAAAAATTAATTTTTAAGAAAAGTTATCACTCAGGGCATTCCTATCTTCACCGTAATCAGTTTTCTGTTATTACAAATAGGTCTTGCTGCTTTTCCCTCAAGACTTCCTAAATTCCTCTATTTCCATCAAGGTGAGGCAATATACATTGACTCTTCTGTTCCTTTTCCCTAGCTGTAGTTTCTATGTCTGTGGAGCGGGTTATGCATTTCTATTCATGCTGAATGGGCACTTAGACATTAACATATATAAGTCAAGATACCTGTCTTCACAAAGCTTACTTTAATGCAGGTATAGAAGAGATACCACAAAGTCTTTGTTGCATTCAAAGGGACACAAGATAACATATCTAGATGTATTGATTAAAAGCTTTACAGGCTTTTGTTCCTTCCACTCATAAAGGATCAGGCAAGAAAAGTGTTTT